GGTATAAGCTGTGTAATGTTTAAAGGCCGACAGTGGGCCAGCCCCAACCACTTTTCCTAACTCCTGCACAAGTATGGTGCTGTGCCTTACAAATACTGTCACGAAAGATTTCAAATTCTTCGTGTTGAAGGTTGGCACTAAGACCTTACGACGAGGTCGCCATATTGAAACTGCAAGATTTGAAAACAATCTTATTTATATATTTATTTATAGAGCATAGACGAGTTACAACTAATAAAAATAACAATAAGCGCAGGTATCAGTAAGACTATGACAGATAAAAAAAAACTTTCCAATATAAAATCCACTTGTTGCAAGTTGCATGGAGCACAAATATTAACGCATGCGTCGATGGTTGTTTTGTTTATGTCTTAAAGGTAAAAGTTAAAACTATCATGGCCTATGTTTTGATGTAGAGGTAGATCATACTCTTCCCCTCACAAACTTTTGCATTTATAATTTACGAAAAGTAATCAACTTCATTATATACTCACCAGGAGCGAATATACTGCCCTTGCCAATAAAGAGTGTAGCCATTTGCATTATGTCATCTTTCTCCAAACAAGTCTTTAATACTATCTCCGCAGCCTCAGGGTCTACTATCACTAGAAATATACATATTAATTTTATAATAACTATCGTTAGCGATACTAAATTAACTAAAAATCGTGGGTCACGTGAATATACTGAGACAAGCTCTACTAGTTTCGAACCACAGAGGGGTTCTTCCTCATGAGCAGCGTGCTCGGTCCCGGCGATATCGCGCAGCTTTAGCCTCTGTGGTTCAAATCTAGTAGAGCTTTTCTCAGTATATTCACGTGAGTCACCCGCGATTTTTAGTTAATGCATAAAAATTATTATGTTTTTTGTCTTACTTACGTAACTGTTTGACGTGCAATTCGACTAGTTTCAAGCTAAGCATGGCTTGAAACTCTAGCAAGAGGCTCAAATTCATGAGCAACGTTTCGCGACACATGACGCGGCGATTGTCGTGCAGACTCAAATAGATAGGTAAGTAATCCGAAAAACATAATAATTAATTTCATAAGTCTCATGAACGTTATAATATAACCTGAGAATGTAATTTAAGAGGAACATAATATAACGACATCTTATTGTATGAAAATACATTAATTGCAACGAAATACTCATTCATTTCATCACATCACATCACTGCTGGACTTTGGCCTTATCTTTGGACTTTAGTTTTTCTTGTGCCTTTAGGCTTAATTCATTCTGTCTCCTGCAGAAATTTACCGAGGGAAGGTGGAAACTATCGTATTTTTTTTTTGTCCTCTTATATCTTCTGATTTACTTCTTTGCGGAAACCAAGACAGTTATTCATGTCCTGGGACGCGCTGGACTCAATGGTTGTATCTACTATAAATCCTGGCTTACAGGAGTTGCAGCCATTTTGGGAGATTGTGGCGGGCTTGTCCCTATAAATAATGCTGGACTATGGGCTTTCTTTGCATAATCTCTGAACCGAGCAGGCTGGGTGGATGCCACAGTTTAAAAAGTCTATTGTAATGTTTCTGTTGAATAGGAATATAGTCCATTAGTCGGTTTTTACGACACATACGGAAAGAAAGGAAGTGATGTCATCTGCATTTTACTCTGTCATTGCCACATCAACAGTCCATAAGTGGGCACTTCTGACCAACGGTCTCTTCTCCCACAAAGAAGGTATCAAACTTATGTTTGGAAATTATAAACCCAGGTTTACTCACGATGTTTTCGTTCACGGCTCATCAATAGTGTCTAAAGTAATTAAACTTTATAGTTTACAATGGTTACTCACTTGTATACAGATAATTTCCCTGCCACGCCGGGAACAAACCATTATCATTCTTTAAAGCATCTCTACCGAGAATTTGTAATGCTTCCATTCGTTCTAGAAAAACCATATAATTACGTTAAATTCAGAATCGTATATATGTAATTTAATTTGAATTAATTTCACACAACCTTCATTTCCACCAAATGTACTTACTGTGGTTGTTACCCAAAAACAAATAACTGTGTCCAATCAAAGGGTAGGCTTTTACTCTGCAGCTCAACTGTTTACCTAATTTGTACACTTCTCTCCTAGACCAACGGTCATATAACAATAACATTATCACTAAAAATATTAACAATTCCACCAACATCTCGCTGGTATAAAGAACACTCAAATACTCAAAAATGTATTTAAATATCCACATATATATATTGCTTAATTAATAGACTAAAATATTAAAAGGAAAAGACTATAATGAACTATCAATTCAATAGAGCTGATGCGTCTCGTGCTGTTACTAAGTAAATGAGTTTATGTTTCGAATAGAATATATTGTAGGTATTCAGTGTGTGAGACAGACTTCTCAGTATTTTCACGTCGAAAATAAACATCAAATTCACAAGCAAATAGTGCGCGCTAGTTTATTCGCACACCGTCGCGAGAATAATAATCAAACTGTGTGAAAAATATATAATGAAATAAGCGGTTTCCGAGTACTACAACTAAATATCCATAATAACCTATTATAATATTACCATAATATATTGAGATACTACCCATTACTGCATTACGCTACTGAGCCTTTAATTAAAGCCTACTTTAAAAAGCATACAATTTGTTACTATTAAATCTACATGCGAGAGCCACGCTATGACACAAAATAGGCTAGCTGAAGTAATACCATCTTCTCCAATCTGTCTCCACTACCGGAATCTCCTAACATCCCCAAAATGACGACAACGCATTTGTAGCTCCTGTGGTGTCCATGGGTGGTGCCGATTGCTTATTTACCAATTACAAATAGGTCATTCGTTTTTTTCGTCTGTTCGTTTGCCGCCCTATCCGATAAAAAACGATATTTCATTTTACCTTAGATTTATACATATACAATACATAGAAATAAACGAAAGGAACTTGAAGAAACCAACATGACCCAGCACCAACACGAAAGTACGTATAAGATGACTTTGAATGTATTCATTGAATTAAATGTAGTGACCTGGTTGTTTCGGACGAAAATTATCTTCAAAAGAAGGTCATTCAAAATACCAAATCCACTTATTAAAAATTTAAATCATTTCATTCGGTTCCATTGTCAATATGCATATAATTAAACTCATAAACATATTAAATAATGCCACTAATAGTGGTTGATATGTCATCAACTTTAATACTAATAGATAAAAAAAAACTCATAATACAAGATGGAATGATACATAAGTTCAGAGTAAAATAAGGCCTTTGTAAAAAATATCAATAACATTCGAGGCCCATTTTTATATGTTTAATAGAATAAATAAATAATTGAATATTTATAATTTCTGTAAAAAAACCTTACTTTAAAAGATATGCACAATCCTTGACCAAAGCTAGGAATTAGTAGAAGTAAGCAAATACCGAATATATTGTAGTTGAAGTAACATAGCCTAATGGACACAGGGGTTGGTTATTTTAGATTCTTCAGATACTGTCCATAAGACGTTTTTGGAGAGTCTTATAAAATTGTCTGGTGGTGATGATGGGTACACGGATGATGAAATAGTAGAGGAACTACTGGTGATCATGGTGGCTGCCACTGACACCTCAGCAGTCGCAGCCTCCTTCGTGACTTTGCTACTCTCCAGATATCCCGAAATACAGGAGAAAGTTTTTGAAGAGTGAGTGTTAT